CGATCATGTTGCAGCACAAGTGTCAATTCACGTGCACCATATAGACATATTATCTGTGTATGTAAGTGGGCATGTATGTATGTATGTATGTATGCATGCATGTATGTATGTATGTATGTATGTATGCATATATGCATGTATGCATATGTGCATGTATGCATTTACGGATGTAAGTATGCACGTATGTAGGTCTACGTGTACATGTATGCGTGTGTGTGTGTGTCTATGTGTCTGCATATGTGTGTGTGTGTGTGTATGTGTATATATATATATATATATATGTATATATATACGTGTGTATATACACGGTTCCCTCATCTTCTTGCAGCTCCGATATCCCTGCGAGCAAAGCTTACTGAGTGAACGGACGGCTCTGCAGGAACACGACAACTTCAACGACTCGCGCCGGCTCCAATACAACGACTAAAGCCTCCACGACATCAAGCACGAAGACCAGCACGTCAACCACCAAAAAGACGACCACCAGCACAACCACGAAGAGCACCACAACCAACCCCAACATCACCACAACCGAGACCACCACCAAGAACAACACCAGCAAGAGCACCACCAGCAAGAGCACGACGACAACCACGAGCCGAAAGACCACGACCTTCAAGAAGACGACGACCCACCGAACGACCACCAGCAAGAAGTCCACCACGCACGCCAGCACGACCTCAACAACCACCCGCCATGTGCAGGCGCCGTTTCGTGCATAAGATCCCCCCCGCCTGCCCCCGTACCTAAAGGAGCCGCGAGCAGCAGAAGTGCGTCCACAAAATCCGAAGACGGAAGTCCTGAAAATCCTAAGTCCTAAGCGTCCCATCCTCGAGCTTAGCAAGATCCACCTTCCTCTCTTTGGGGCCTCAGACCTAAACCCTTGCCCCTAGGACTCTTTTAGGCCCGAAGCCCGAAGCCTGAGAGGCCCCAGTGCTCTATAAATGCCTCACTCCGTGATCTAAAGTGCTTTGCTTCGGGCCTGGGTAGGTGACCTTTAGCCTTTTGGGTTTAGGGTTTAGGGTCTAGGGTTTAGGGTTTAGGGTTTGGGTACATACACAACCCTCCCAGAATCAAAAGGGCCAACTTTATTTCTGAGCTAGGGATATCCCGGCCTTAGGCTCAAATTCAGCCTGAAAGCCCTGAGTACTTGGAGGATTATGGGACTTAGTAAGTAAGGTTATAAGTACCCTAATTGGGGTTATAAGTAATTGTAAGTCTAGTTACCTTATTTGTAGCCCTAGTTACCAAGTCCCATGAACCTCTAAGTACCTCGAGCCCAAGAGGCGGTTCAGCTGCCCACGGCCGCACCAGCAGCCTCCGCTGTGCCCGTGGCGACCACCACCTCGGGACCCAGCTTCTTCTACTTGCAGGCCGGGGCGTCTGTCGGCTTCAGATTTACAGGGCTCTAGGCTGTTTCCATCTCGTAGAGGCTTGAAAAGACCCTAAACCCTAAACCCTAAGCCCTAAGCCCTAAGCCCTAAACCCTAAGCCCTAAGCCCTAAGCCCTCAACCCTAAACCCTAAACCCTAAACCGAAACCTGAATGTTCATCACAGCCCAGAAGCTGCGAAGCAAATGGTCAAAGCGCTGCCCAACACGGCAGCAGAAAGACGCCCAAGTCCACCCAAAAGGATCCTCAAGAAACTTAAAGTCGCCTCCTCAAAGCCTACCGAAAGAAATTGCTGGTCCTTTAAAGCAAGCTGAACCCTTTTTACCGAAACACTAGGTTTACACATATATTTGTTTATATGAATATATATCAATACATCTAGTGAGTGAGTGAGTGAGTGAGTGAGTGAGTGAGTGAGTGAGTGAGTGTCGACCTGGGGTGCTCTCCGGCCTACGGAAACGGTCCCTCTCGCCTTCTTTGCCCCTCCGCATGCGTCATCGGAGCTCCGGTGCAGAG